GGCAAACTTCCTGGAACATCAATTTACTTGAAGGATTATGGATGTGAAATCAATGTGGTTTAATATATTTTATATAGTTAATCTGATTGTCGTCCACTTGTTGGATTAATTTTTGAAAATTAACTGGAGGTTATGTGGATTATTTTCTAAATTAATCCAGGGGTCTGGACGGGGGGGGGGTATCTAAGGGACCCGCCATACTCACTCACTCTCACACTCACTCTCGCTCCCATTTTCACTCTCATTCTTTCACTTTCTCACTCTCACTCTTTCATTCTCTCACTTTCACTCTCACTCGCACACTCACTCACTCTCTCACTTTCACTCTTTCTCACTCGCACTCACTCTCACTCACACTCAATCTCGCTCACACTCACACTCACTCACACTCACCCTCACACTCACTCACTCACTCACTCACTCACTCACTCATGCTCACACTCGCCCACACTCACACTCACACTCACTCACTCTCACTCTCACTCTCACCCTCCCCACTCACACGCGCACACTCACTCTCACTCTCACTCACACTCACTCACTCAATCACACTCTCACTCCCACTCCCACTCCCACTGCCACCATCGCCTCTGGACCCCAATGCGTCTAGATCTCGTAGACTTTCTGCTGCTGCACCTCTAGACCTCGCACGCACTGTTTGGGGTCTCTTGCCGGGGCCATTTTTTTGGTTTCCTCCTCTTGCCCCGCTTTCCTGACACTTGAATTTGGCTTGCGTTTTGGTTCACGTAAACTCCGACTGGTAGGCTTGCGCTCCAATGTTCGGTTTGATTCTCTGATTTGAAGACGTGAGCAAGTGCTCGTTCAGTTTGCACCCCTCACACATTCTGTAGGACAAGGTCAAGCCTTGGGTTTGCGAGCATAGATGGAAAGGCTGGGGCAACAGATCAGTGGCACTGACAATTCAATCAATGCCGAATCAACGCCCTTCGTTGCTTCGAGGCGTGTCTGGAGCGATTCGCTTCCGACAGTTTTCCAGGCCTGAAGCTAAAAATTGACGCGCGGGAGTGGTAAAGGCAAAACTGGCAGCTACTAGTAGGTGGATTAAATATTTATATACTTGAAAACGTTTTTCTGGCTTTGCAGTTCGGAGCAAGCCCACTCCTTCTGGGACGATCGGGCTGGGCACATTGCCTTCAGCCTCGGCAACGCACCGCTCTCAGAATTTACCAGAAGATAAAGTCTTGCAATCCTTGATTTTACGCGTACCTGCAAACCAATACACGCAGGTGTTTGACTATGTACATTTCTGAGCATACATGAAACACGTTCAATCAAAACTTTGAGCCAAAAGCAAAAGCTCAAAGCTGCCCAAACCGAACCGGAACACCTCGACAATGTGAGGGCTAGACACAGCTGAGGTCGGGTTTGCCGCTTTCAGCCGTGGGTACAACTCGTGCGCACTGGCCCCCGCGGCTGTGACATGATTCAAGCTCGCGTTTTGCGTTGCACTGCAGGTACACTGGCCAAGGAAGCAATGAAAGCATTTCACTTGCAGGCACTTGGCTGGGTATATTGGCTGGGTATACATGCGCACGCACGGAATGAATGCGTGTTGGTTGAATCATGTTGAATCTGAATGAAGTTGAGCCGATTAAGCTTTATGCGCGCGGAGCTTGGCTTGAGCTGTCCTGCTTTTCAGGGCGACAAACGAGTCTGTTGGAGGCTCAGGAAGCGGCGCCACTCTGCGTCTGAAGATTGACGGGGTTTGTTCAGCCAGTTGTTCCCGAGAGCGTCTGCGAAAGGTTTTTCGTAAAAAAGCATCTGTAGAACTACGTCTCATCTACGTCTTCACATCTTCACATCTGCGCATCTACATTTGCACATCTACATCTCTGCTCATCTTCACATCTTCACATCTACATTTGCACAGCTACATCTCTGCTCATCTTCACATCTGCACATCTACATCTCTGCTCATCTTCACATCTGCACATCTTCACATCTGTACATCTACATCGTCGCGTCTTCACATCTGCACATCTACATCTTCACATCTGCACAGCTCACATCTGCGTATCCTGTCGCTCTTCGTTTCTTTCTCTTAAGGCCGCTGCCGGAGCACCACGAAACGCAACCCTCTGCGAAGATCGTGCGTGTCGAGGGCGCAAAACGCAGGTGAGATTGCGTTTTGGATTTGTCCGGCGCAACCCTCTGCGGAGATCGTGCGCGTCGAGGGCGCGAAATGCAGGCGAGATTGCGTTTTGGCCCGGTCCGGCGCAACCCTCTGCGGAGATCGCGCGTGTCGAGGGCGCGAAACGCAGGTGAGATTGCGTTTTGGATTGGTCGCGCACAACCCTCCGCGGAGATCGCGCGTGTCGAGGGCGCGAAACGCAGATGAGATTGCGTTTGGATTGGTCGCGCTTCACTTTTGGAGGACGTCTCGTACGAAACGCTGGTTTTGGAGGCTTGGCGCTTCACTTTTCGAGGAAGTCTCGTCAAAGGAAGTTCGCAAAACTTCCGTGTTACGGACATTCAACAGCTGTTCAATACACCACTCATCATACACCACTCATCATACACCACTCATCATACATCACTGATCATACACCACTCATCATACACCACTCATCATACACCACTTATCACGCACCAATGCACCACTCATCATCCACTTAGTTCTAGTTTCAAGAGCTCTAGCTCCAGTTAGCTCTAGTTTCAAGAGCTCTAGTTCCAGGTACCACTTATCACGCACCACTCATCATCCAGTTAGCTCTAGTTTCAAGAGCTAGCTCCAGTTCAAGTCAAGCTTTGCGGAACGACGTGAGCAAGACGGTCTCGGGTCATGCTCGGATCATTCTCGGAATCGTCCATTGTGATTAGAGTTTTCACTTGTTTCTTGAAGTGCAGATCTCGTGGCAGGCAGAGCGCTTTGTGAACCTCCATGCGCAGATTTCGTGGCAGGCGCAGCACTTTGTGAACCTCCACGCGCAGATTTCGCGGCAGGGGTAGCGCTTTGTGAACCTCCATGTGCAGATTCCGTGGCAGGCGCAGCACTTTGTGAACCTCGAGGTGCAGATTTCGTGGCAGGTGCAGCACTTTGTGAACCTCCATGTACACATTTCGTGGCAGGCGCAGCACTTTGTGAACCTCGAGGTGCAGATTTCGTGGCAGGCACAGCACTTTGTGAACCTCCATGCGCAGATTTGGTGGCAGGCGCAATACAAAATGCGTTTTCGAGAGATAGCGGACACACGAAATGCTGTGTTTTTCAATAGAAAGGGTGGCTCCGAAGCTGGCGAGTCAAGCCTTGCGGAACGACGCGCGCGAGACGGTCTGGCGTCATGCTCGGATCATTCTCGGAAGCGTCCCTCCATTTTGATTAGAGTTTTCACTTGTTTCTTGAAGTGCAGATTTCTTGGCAGGCACAGCACTTTGTGAACCTCCATGTGCAGATTTCGCGGCAGGCGCAGCACTTTGTGAACCTCCAGGATGCCCTGTGGTTGGTGCCGAGGACGCCCGCTGGGACCGGCGATGCTCCGAAAGAAGCAGGTTCAGCCTCCTGTCGGCTGCCCCATCTCAAGCTCACCTCCCCGACTTCCTTCTCCAGGTCGTTGATCTCCCGCTTCACCGCCATCCTTAGACCTCATCCGTTGCCGCCGTCGATGCTGCTCCGTGGGAGCCAACGACCTTGCTGTCCACGGAACAGTCAAGGGTGGGCTTGGAAGAACCTTGGGCTCATAACCTGTGGTTATGAAACGCGCAAATGCCCAGCACGTCGGGCTTGTTTTTCTTGAGCCAAAAAACGCAGTACACTTCTCGATTTATGCAATCGAGCGGAATGCGATTCACAGAATCAAACTGATATATATATATATATAGCACACCAGCGAAACGCCGCATTTACACCAGCGTGTTTTACGCTCCCCAGTGGCACGGCGCCACGCAGACGCACTTTCCACCAAGGCCGCGCAAATCCGCGTGGCACTGCGACATCACGGACGTAATTCGCCACACGCTCTGCCCGCACACTAGAAGCAATCCTATCGCGCGATACCGCCAATCATCCCGCTC